TTTTTACCAAAAATATTCGGCTTATGAGCGAGTATATACAACTTCCCTGGTTTCTTCTCATGTTTCAGCCAATTTACATTTCTACAAGCACATCGGGAGGGCATCTCTCGTGATTGAGAATAGCCCCTCACCATGTTGTAGGAGTCTCTGGTGTCTGGCCTGTTATGATACTTCATCAGCAAGGGGAGCTCATGGGTGGCCGTCTACAGTGAATTTTCCCATCTTCCCTTGGAGAGGGAAGCCAGAGTGTGGTGTGTATGGACGATGCAGATGTTTTATCGTTTATGTTGGTCAGGGCTGAGACTGCTTGAAGTTATGGGATGTCCGAGAGACCCTGGCAGGTTAAATAAACCCACCTGCTCTGGGTTACTAGGGAACCAGAGATCCTGGAAGCTTGCAGGAGTTTTTACAACCTATCTTTTCAGTGTGCTGATCACATCTCTGGCCTCCCTTCCCTCTGAGCAGGGGAACACAGCATTGGTCAGAGGGTCCCCCTGGGCTGGGCTGGAGGGGGACAAGGGGGCCTCAAATTCTATAGGAGCAGGGGTACCAGGAAATGCCTCACCACGTGGGTCAGTGTCTCAGGCTGGGAGAGGTCCTCCCAGCAGAGCCAGGTGTGAACAAGGAATGAACTGGTTACTGAGGATCCCAAACGTGTCCCTTCAGCCTCGGGTTCCCTTGGGGTGCCCAGCTCAGCCGCAGCAGGTTATGGGATGTCACCTGGTCTGACCCACCTGCCGTCCAGTAGCCACAGGCTGTGGCAGTCTCGCCTGCTGGAGTGGCCTGTACCATTGTCCGCAGGGGAGAGTCTCACTTCTCCTTCTGTTCCTTTGCAGAGCCCTGTTTGACTATGACAGGACCCGGGACAGCTGCCTGCCAAGCCAGGGGCTCAGCTTCTCCTATGGGGACATTCTGCACGTTATCAATGCCTCCGACGACGAGTGGTGGCAGGCGAGACTAGTGACGCCCCACGGAGAAAGTGAGCAGATTGGGGTCATCCCCAGCAAAAAACGGTGAGTGTCCCTCAGCAGCCCTGTTCCCCTCTCTCCACAATGGATTGGGCCAAGCGCAGGGACTGGGCCCCATGTGGCATTGCAGGGGCCTGCTCCAGCTGCTAGGAGCCATCGGTGGTGGTGGTGCCAGGGACTCCCACCCCCAATTGGGTGTGTGACACCCCCGCGGGCAGCGGCCAGGAGGCGGCTCTCACTGGGCCCCTGCAGGGCTGTGCACCATCGAGGTCGGGGTGAATAGGAAGCAGGGGTTGTTGATAGGTCTGCAGTGAGACCCTTTCTCCTGAAGCGACCTGGATTGTGAATTCCCGGAAGAGCAGCTGAGGAGACGAGAAGAGCAGTTGGTCCTGTTCAGCCGGGTGAGAGTCTGGCTCTGCCATGGTTGAAAAGGGGAGTTGGGGAGTCCCCAGCCCTGCTAGCCCTGAGGAGCTCAAGGCTCCTGATGCCAGAGCCATGCAGCCTGTGCCTTGTGTGCCACCGAGGATCTGTCTAAGCCAGGTCCCATCTGATGTGAAACCGCAGAGCCCAGAGAGAGGAAGAACCAGCTAACCACCAGCTCTGCTTGTGGTTTCTGTGGGTTTCATGTCGAAACAGATGCTGGGGTGGGTGAGACGGGAGCGATGTTTTGCTCCCCTCTGCCGTCAGGCAGAGCGGTTGGGACATGCAGGTGCCAATGGGTACGGAGGGGCTCTGCCTGCTGCAGGGGCAGTGCCCAGTTCTTGCTGGCAGAACCGGATCCGCCTGCTGTGGGGACGGGGGGTCCTGGTCTGCAGTGACAGAGAATGTCCTTTGGGCGGCTTGCCAATGCGACGGGGTGAAGGCCTGGGGCAGAGTTCAGCCTCTCTAGTGGCGCTTGCTCCCTGGACAACCTCTGCACACGGGAGGGTTGTGACCTAGCATAAACCCCATTCCTAGTTCCAGGGGGACCAGCTGAGGGGAGGGGAGAGGCTTTCTGTGTCCTCACCGTGATCCCTCCTAGAGGTGAGCTGTTCTGCTGTGCGCCTCTGTGCAACGTCTGTCCATCCGTCTCCTTCCTCGGGAGTGCCTGGGAAGGGGCAGCCCCACGCCCCCTCTTTCCCCCGAAGGGCTCTTCGTGTTGGGCACGCTGTTCAGTTGATCAGCTTATTGCGGGCTGGGCTGGGCTCCCCGCTGGCTCCTCTCTCCTCCAGGTTCCTGGCGCTGGTTAGATTCATGACAAGCTGCCTGGTCAAATCGCTGCTAATAGCAGAAGCTGCTCAAAGGCCCAGAGCCGCCTCCAAGTGTTCTCTCCTTATAGATGGCGTGGTCAGGTGGTTTGGGTGCCAGAGGGAGCTTTATTGCATGGATGGGGCGCAGAGGTGACCCTCTGCCCGTTGCTGCCCACCGATGTAGCTCAGCAAGCACCGTATGGAGAGGAGCAGGGCAGGGCAGCGAGCTGCACACACATGAACTAGGGCTTTCTCTCGTTTGACTTGAATCAGGGTGGAAAAGAAGGAGCGTGCAAGATTGAAAACAGTGAAGTTCCACGCCCGGACTGGGATGATTGAGTCCAACAGGGTAAGTGCCAGAGCGGGGGTGCCCGGGATGGCCTGAGGTGGAAGCTAGAGGGGCGAAGGAGCGTCCAAGGCTAATGTTGTAACGCTTCTCACTTGGGAAGATAGCCAGAGCGTTCCTGAGTAGAGAGCAGTTGAGACCAGTTGGACTCGAGTTGTGTATGGCTGGGCTGCTTCTTAGGCTTCTGTTCAAACTGCACAGCGGATCCGCTGCCTGGCTGCAAATCTGCAGAGCTGGCAGCCTGGGGTGGGCCAGGAGATTTCAACACAGACACTTCAGCTTGTAGCAGAATTTCCCTCTGACAGTGTGTGTGACCCCATAAGCTGGTGGTCAAGCCCTAGATCGCTTGTGAACAAAAGGTGCATCGCAAAACACCCCGGCTGGGTGGAGCTGACCTCAGACCATCTTGCACAGGCGCATGCGACTTCCCTACGATGGGAGGCTTGAGGTCCGAGCCTGGCTGCTTAATAAAAACACTTCAGACTAAGAAGGGGGCTTAGGGACATGGCCTCGCTCCTGTGGAAAGCGGATTGGGTAGTCAACCTTCCAACATCCCTACAACATTTTTCTCTACACTTAATTTTTCTCCTGCATTATAGTTTCCATGTAATCTCCATGATTTCATTTGAGGGTGATTGCCCTGCCACAGATCCTCATTGTCTCTTCATTTTAATTTTTCGTGCATGCGTTAAACACCATTTGTTTTTTCTGTCCTCCCTTCCATCTCCATGTTCTTCACAGTCGATCAAAACGAAACGTAAAAAGAGTTTCCGCCTCTCCCGAAAGTTTCCATTTTACAAGAGCAAAGAGAACCTGGCCCAGGAGAGCAGCGGACAGGAACGTAAGTAGCCGCTGGCCAGAGAGGGCAAAATGTGCAACCCCCACCCAAACCCCAGCGCCTGCTCCGTGTGGCGGGCTGGGCTGAGTGCATTTCCCTCGCCAAAGAGCCTGCATTCAAAATAGCTGGGAATTCCATTGCATTGGGCCAAACGGCACGACTCCACCCTTTGAGAACTGTTCTGGGAGCCTTCTCAGTTGGAACTGGCTCAGCAAGCAGATAGAGGCAGGATGGGACTTGCTGTGGGACCAGTGGGTCCCTCTGCAACTGCTTACCAAGCTCTGGCTGCACCTCCCCGAGTGTCCCAGTGGCTTCCCACCCATATTGAGAGACAGACCCAGCGCCTGCAATGGCTTCCCAAGCTCAGGAGACTCAGATGGAGTGTTGCCTCTTCTCCCGCTGCCTAGCAATGGTGGAAGTGGAGATTCCTGCCTTGCCCTCTCCTCCAAAGCTGTTCCAGGGGCAGTGGCACTCAGGCTGGGCTCTGGCCATCACAGCCATGGCTGGCATTCTAGAGATCGCATAGAACAATCCATGTCACTGGGCAAAGCCAAGCCAAGCCCGGCCTGCCTGCCTGTAGAGAAGGGGACGTCTCTCCTACCTGCCTCATCCCTTCCCTAGTGCTCGACTCCCAGCCACGGGTGCTGTGTCAGCAAAACTGCCTCTCCCAGCTGCTGCCAGTCTAGCTGCCGCTGGCCATGGCCCAGGATTTCCATCCAGCCTCTGGGCGATGGAGACCTGCCTGGCGCACTCTCAGTTGTTTGGTGTTTTCATCCTTTCACAACTTCTCAGCACATGATCAAACCTCTACTCTGCCTTTCTCTGCTCTCCCTGATGTGCCAGGGGCTCTGCCTTCCCCCGCTCTCAGAACAAGGCGAGGGAATATGGTGCTCAAAGGCTTGTGTTTAATGTTGTAAATGGGCAGGTGTGAGTGGGTGCAGCCCCTTGTCCCGCTCCTGGAATTGGGAAACGGCCTTGCCGTCTATAGCGAGAACCTGGCAGTGCTCATCTGCGTGAACCAATTAGGAGTAGTGAATCCAGCCAGCTTTTGTTATGTGACCATCTGCTCCAGAAGCACCTCTGTGGGCGAATCACTGTGGCCTGCAGAGCTGTCCTGTGCCTGGCTCCCTTTCTGGAGGAATTCCAGCTGCCCGCAGAGACAGCGGCACGTTCCATAGTGACTCTGGCACCATTTCCCAGAGGGTGGTAAGGCATGAGCCCCTGGCTGGCAGCCTCATTGCACTCTCCCTGCTGGAAGGTCAGATCTGTTCATGGCGACTCACCCATCCCGCTTCCCACATGGAGCTAGGAAGCTCCACATGAGGACAAACCCTGGATGGGGCCATGCTCTGATGGTGCATGGCTGTGATCGAGGACCTCTGCTCTGACACCCCCGGCAAACCCCCTGTGTTGAATGGAGGGTGTTCGGAGTGGGGCAAAAGGAGCAGAGAGACCAGGACGGTCAGAGGCTGCCTACCCACCCCCAGCACATTCGCTACAGGGTAGCAGCTGAACTGAGCATGCGTTAGTGTCAGTGTGGTGAAAACGGCAGTGTGTCTGGGTGTGAAGGGCTGTGCACTCCGGCGCAGGAAAGCGCAGTCGATTCAGATCAGTCAGAGAGAGGCGTGTGGACTGTGCTCCTCTGAGGAACTGAAGGGTTCAACACGCAAACCTACGAAGTATTCCTACGGACGGGTTTGCTGGCCAGTGAGCCACCGAGGGAGGTGTTCCTACCTGTGTTCTGTGCAGCTGGGCCACTCGCCTGGCACTGCCCTTCCTCTGCACTTGCTACACGTCATCAGCTCTCCGTAATGCATTGGGTGCTTTGTCAGCAGTGTCCATGTAGACAGCTGTGGTCTCACAGGTAGGAGAGGAGGCGGGGCGAGGCAGAGCGAATCCACCTGCCAGGCTGCATTCCCGTCATGGTGCACTGCTCAGAATGGTCTCTGCTCTGCGGCTGACTGCAGCTGGGGCCAGGACCCAGAGCCTGTCCACACACTGCCTGCATGGTGTCTCACTTCGCTGGCACAGACCTCCATCTTGTGTGTTTATGGAGGGAGAGCAGCCAGATTTTCAAACGAGTTCAGTACCCAACCTGCTGAGCTCTTCTAAAAATCTGGCTCTGGGTGAGTCCAGCATGCCTCTGTTCCTTCCTGGGCCTGACTTCAGCCATAAAAGCTGTATGTGCATCTGCATACTCCAGGGCCTCTGGCCTAGGATGGTTGGTGACTTGGCTGCCCAGTGCGCTTGCTAGACGCAGGTGGTTGCAGGTGTCATAACGAAGGTAGGACAGACCCGAACTGCACTGGCTAAATGAATATGCAAATCCTCCTTATGAGGGTGGCCCCCTCTCTCGGCTCCCCTAGCTTTGCCAACGGATTGTGAAATCCCAGCGTCCCCTCTGCTCAGGGTGCACAGCTCACAGTGCACCAAGGTGTCCGTGCCCAGTAGTTGTAGGGATTTGTGGGGGAGCGGGAGCCATGTCTGGGAGAGTCCCTGGGGAGGGGGCTTGGCTTGCTGCTTTCCCTCCTGGAAGGGTCTGTGGTTGGGGGATGGCTTGCTTGTAGAGGGTGGCATCAGGCAACTGAACATAATTGAATTCATGACTGAAGTGGATTCACCACCTGCCTGTGGGCTCTGTAAAGTCTGTTTGAGGGCTCATTCTCTGCCAGCTCCAGGTTAGCATGTGCTCACGGTGTGGGGGTGGGGACCCCACTCCCCGTCTAGTTCCTGTTGTAGGTAGAAACTTGCAGCCAGTCTCCCTCCCTTGAAATGCTTCACAGCACTTGACTAAATCTGCTTGTGGAGCATAGTCCTTCCTCTGCGCACTCTGCACGTGGAAATGTTGGGATTAGGGGAGCTGAAGCAAAGACTGCAGAGGGATTTGAAGTGCTCCTCAGCCCTTCCAGGGAAGCTGAAAGGCTCAGCCTGGGACTGTACTAGAGCAGGGGTGTGGGCAGAGGGCTCTGGGGCACAGAATCCCTCAGACACCTGGAGTGGGAGATGCAACGTACCTGGCCTTCACCAGTCCATCAAAAAGCTGAGTGAGGCACATTCTTGGGAAGGCCTCCCCTCAACTTCCAACAGCACCTCTGGGATTGGAGCAGCTCACTCGGGAGTGGAAGTTAGCCTGCTCCAGGGGGCCAACTCTTCCTCAGCAAGAGCCTTCCCAGAGTGCACTCAATGAGCAGGTAGCCTGAGGAGGAGTCGGGCACATGGGCACCATTGGTCTCTGGGCTGTGGTTTTGGCAGGGCTGCCCTTGGCCCTGTGGGGGCTGGTTAGAGGCCCTGCGATGGCCATGGGCTGGGTGAGAGGACACGGCTCGGCTCAGCTCAGCAGTGTGAAGGCTGGCTGTACTGCCTGCCCCAGCAAAGACACTTCTGAATTTTGTAACCTCACTTGCAATTGCAGCTCACAGCCGTTCTGCACTCCTGTCACTAATGCTCACCTGGCTCTGTCTCTTTCCTCTCCTCTCTCTGTCTCTCACTCCCCTCTCTCTGGCTCTCTGCCCCTTCCTGCGGTCTATGAAATCAGGACTTCCCTGGGTTAAGTGACGATTATTATGGAGCAAAGAACCTGAGTAAGTCTCATTTAAATGCACATCGTTGGCTCTCCATGTCTGGCATGTCTGGCGCTGCGCCGGGGGGAGGCTGGGATCCAGGACTGGGAGTTAGTGCTGCTCTTGATGTACAGCGCTAGTCGCGCTGAAGGCTTTGCTCTTGCTTCTGAGGCTGTGGGTTCCAGTCCCAGTCAGTGGAGGTGGAGGGGGCTGGGCTCTGGGGGAGGGAGAACTGCCCCTTGTGCTGCTCCCATGGTGAGTTAGAATTCCCTAGCAGAGAGTGACGCAGTCCTGCCCTCCAAATTGCAGGGTGAGCTGCTCTGTTTCCTCTTGTTAGACTGATGGTCACAGCTGGAGCTTGGATCCAGCGGCTCCCTGCTCTAATGCCAGCCCAGATGAGTTAGCGTCAGGGCTGCACTGGAGACGGCTGCTGGCAGGCAATCAGGGGAGAGTGACGGGCCACAGGCGCGTCACTAAGCAGGTAGCTGCGTCTTTAAGTGCTACCTGCCTGCTCCCCGTGCCGGGTGCGTGCACATGTACCCTGAGCTGTGGAACGGCTTCTCTTCCTGACTCCCTTTGGGGAGACGATCTTCACAGCTTCCGCTTAGAGGCCAGCTCTATGCAAGCGGTCCCCTGGCTGCCCACACCTTCGGGACCAGCACAGCCCCACGTCCCTGGGAGCAGGCAGCCGGGGGGGGAGCAGGACGAGTGAGTGACCCAGTGTCTGCGGAGGGGCCGTAGCATTGGAAATGGCCTAAACAAGCAAGGCCCCGAACTCTGTTCCGTCTTGTCAGTGTCTTGTCTCTGTGAGTCCCCCCGTCCCCCCAGGCTGGTTTGCCCTCGTCAGACTGCACTTTGCTTTAGGGTTTGTGCTGATGTATCCGTGTGCTGCGGCAGCTTCCCTCCTCTGCTCCCCCTCCTTGCATGACACCTGGCTCAGGGGGACTCGAACTGGCAGGGCCCTGCCCCGTGCCCCACCCCTCTCACTGTGGATTTATGCTGTATCCTTCGGGGAGGGGGCAGCACCCTGCTCTTGGAGATGCTGCAGGATGAGGCCTGGTGCATTCCCTGGGGAGGCCATTACTAATGCCAGGGGCAGAGCTGCTTCCCATCCCTGTGCACGCTGCCTGGGGAAAGGGAGCCCTGTGAGCTCGTGCCCACTGGGTACAGAGAAAGCCCTGCCTCCGGCGTTCGCATCTTCCCCCTTTCACGCTTGGCAGGGTGCCCCAGACGCAGTTAACTGGATTTCCCTGTTGAAGCTACTGACTGAAGGACCCGGAAATGAACCTCCTGCAATGGTGCCCTACCCCTGGAAATGCCAGTTCTAATGCAGGAGTAAGGGATGGGGGCTGAATCTGTAAGAGGAATCTCACTGGGTCTACATGCTGCCATTGGCTGTGGGGACCCCAAGGCTGTGCTCGACCATGCCCTCTACCTGTGTCCTGTGGCCACTAGCGTTGGGCCACTGTCTGTCTCCTACCCCATGTGCCCTTTGTGAGTTCCTGGCTGCACGTGTTCTGAATTGGCGTCTTTTTCTTGTTGGTTTGCAGAGGGCGTGACATCAAACACCAGTGACAGCGAGAGCAGTTCCAGTAAGTGTCTTTCTCTCCTGCTGTCTCTCACCTCTGTGTGTGTGCGTTCTAAGCATTTTCATTCCTCTGTTGTCCCCATGGTGTTTCCTGTTCGGAGGCCGATGCTTCCTTTGGCCACTCGAACTGAAGGCCCTAGAGATGCTGTGGCCAGCTCCCTCGAGGGGATGGGAGCTTTTTGCCAGGCCTGGTTAGCAGTGTCCTTAGTGGCAGTGATGGGATGCAGTGACGTGGAAGCCATGAGGTGTTAGAGGTCACTCTTTGACCTGTCCCAGCAGAGGATCCCGCCCCAAGGCGCGCTAGTTTTGGGGTGCCACGTGGCTCCTGTGTCCTGACTTCTAGCCCTTGGGATAATACCCCATAGGTCTTGGAAAGCTTGTGCTCAGAGAGGAAGATCTCTGCCAGCTGCTAACGCCCTGCAGCCCACCTACAGCACAAGCCCCGCAGGTGCACTAACAGCTACTGCAGCACTAACGCGCATTCTGCCCGAGGCGTCTCTCTCCTCCTGCGACAAAGCTGCAGCTGCTCTGCTTACGCTTCCAGCTAGGAACTGATCCTGCCCCGCCGTCTCCCCAGTTCGCCCTGCCAGGATGCTCTGAACCAAACACGCGCTGGTGGTGTCGGTCAGGCAGCTCAGAAGGGCCTGGCACAGAAACAGTGTGTGTAATGAGGGCAGCGTCCCCAGCGCCTTTTCTCCTACAAGCCTTCAAACAGGCAGCACCCAGCCCAGGCAGGGAAATTGGTGCCAGGGATCCAGGGCCTCTGGAGTGTCCCCGCAGCGCAGATGGGAGCTGGGTTTACGGTCTCCCAGCACACAGAGAGGAATGGGTTCCATGCAGCTAGCCAGAAAGGATGAATGGCTGAGTTGGTCCTGCCTGGCTTTGAGCCCAGAATGTGGCTATTCCAGGTGTCGTTCAGCCGGTAACCCAGGGAGCAGCCAGGCTGTGGAATCGGATCCTCAGAGCAAATAGTGGCCAGGTTGCCGCTCTGGGCTGGGGGGGAGCCATGGGAAGGGAGCCTGGGTCATAGCCCGCAGAAAGAGCGCCCTCTGGTGTTTGCCCTAGCGTTCCAGGCAAACTGCCATGAAGCGAATGTCTGACCAAGTCATGGGCCACCTGGGCTTAGAGTGCAGCCCACCTGCTGGCCACAGACTAGCCTTTGGGTTGGCTGCAGGGGCAGCGTGATGGGGGAATGGCTCTCACTCACGTACTGTTTCGGGTCTTCCTGGGGCAGTCAGAAAGGAACACTGTCCCAAGGCAGTTCTGGTCAGGAGCAGCACCCCAGGCTGGGACTCTCCTGTGCACTTCGCTGTCACCCTGGGACTTCACTGTCCAGCGGGGTGGGCAACCCAGAGGCCTTTGGGGCACTTCTGTGTATGGCAGATCCTGGCTGGCTATTGCCTTCATGCCACTTTCTGGTCACAAAGGGTTGAGGCAGGAGAGGCCCCTGCAAACACTCACCTGCTTCTCCCTGGCTCTATTCCAGAAGGACAAGAGGACACTATCCTGTCATATGAACCGGTGACACGGCAAGAAAGTAAGTATGGGGTGGGGTCTGGAGTGTGCAGTGGTCTTGAGTCCCAGCTCTACAGCTTGTGGTGGTTTTGAGAAGTGCCTACGCACAGCGAGTCCTTAATCAAACCTTGAATCTCCAACCAACACCTAAAACTGGCCTCAGGCAGGCGTGGGTCTGCAGGCACTCTGCTCTCCCGGCCTCCCAGAGCAGCATGTGTTGCGAGGCGTTTAATGGAAACGTGAGGGGCACCTGGCCGCCTGTGCCTGCCTGGGCTGCCTAGCACTCTTGGCAGGCAAGCAGACACTGCTCATGAAATGCCTCTGGTCAATGGCAAACGCTTGAAACACTGGCTGTGAAACCGTCATTGCTAAAAATGTAACACCCCCTGCCCTGCCCAAGCCCAGCCCTCTCTGCGCTGCCCTTCCAGAGTCTTGGGTCCTTCTTGTACCAAGCACCCGCCTTCACCTCCGGCCACTCACCCACTCTGTCTGATTCATGCCCCAGCCGTACTGCATCTCGTGACTGCATCGGGTTGAGTGCCTGGGGCCAGAGGCTGGGAGGGCTCATTTCTTTTTAAAGCACCTAGCACGTTGTTGGTGCTTCATCTGTACCAACTCAAGGCAGCTATTCACCCATGAGCTGCCAGTTTGCTGGTTCCTCAGCCAGAGAGTAACACGTCCTATCCTCCAGACACGAGTAGTGCAAGTGCCAGCAGCATGCCTGGGGAGAAGAGGTGCATTCCTCCCCTGGAGCTTGCAGGCCAATGGGAGGTCAGCCTCCCGCACTTGTCTGAGCGGCTGTGGTGGAAGGGCTTGGGAAGAGGGTGTGTTGAGGCAATAATTTGGGTGCTCTCACGGAGGAGCGAACCTGGAAGTGCATGTGGAGGCACATAGAAGAGGTAATAAGCACTCTTGTGTTCTGCACCATTTGCCTCTTTGGGAGCGTTGCTGATGCGTCCTGTGGGCTGAGCCCAAAGACAAGTTCCTGGAAGCTGTTTCCATGTGCATGGGAAAGGTGTCCTTGTTCTAGAATGAGAAGGGTTCTGTCCTTGGGTAGACTTGGAGCTTTGCTGAGCTTAGTCCCCACTGCAGGAAAAGGGCCTTCAGTATTTCCACAGACCACAAGTGTGAGTGCTGTGCGAATGGCCGTGGTGTATTGACCACAAGTATTCTGGAGCCACGTGGCCCACTCCAGGCTTCAGCGAGTGTGGGAGCAGCTGCTGGGATCAGAGACTCAGCCTCAGGGTCGTGGCTTTTCTTGTTTCCAGTTCACTATGCGAGGCCAGTGATCATCCTGGGGCCAATGAAAGACCGTGTCAACGATGACCTCATCTCCGAGTTTCCACACAAGTTTGGCTCCTGCGTGCCACGTAAGTGTTGGCGTTGGTGTCTCTCTCAGGTTGTGAGTTAGTGACCCAGAGGTGTGCTCTGGAGAGGGGCCGCTGTTTCTCTGCCTGCTGCATCTGAGTCATGTGGTGGCGAAGAGAGGCAAGGCAGGGTCGCTGTAGGGGCCTGGCAGGCTGCGGTGGGCTCTGTCTCATGAAGCCCCTCTCTTTCAGACACTACCAGGCCTCGGCGTGAGAATGAGGTGGATGGGCAGGACTATCACTTTGTCGGATCCCGAGAGCAGATGGAGAAAGATATTCAGGACAACAAGTTCATCGAGGCTGGGCAGTTCAATGACAATCTCTATGGGACCAGCATCCAGTCGGTGCGGGCAGTTGCAGAGAGAGTGAGTGTAAACGTGGAGGCAGCGACACTGCTCCAGGGAAGCCCGCAGCTCACCCAAATGATTTGTGACCCTCTCGCGGCTGCACCCATTGCCCATGTAACTGTGTGTGGAGCAAGAGCCAATTGGACACGGATTCCTGCCACGCCATCTGGCCTTGTTCCACAACCTCATTACCCAGCCCAGACTGCCCAGTGCTCTGCCGCTAAACCCACCTCCCTCCCCAGGCAGGAGTCCTGCAGAACTCAGGCCTCCTAAGCCACTGGGCTACCAAGGCCACCATTAGCCACACCAGTGCCTGCTTTATCTTCACAAGTGCTGGTGCAGAGGTTCTTTGCAGTGAGTAGAACAGAAATGCTCTGTGCTCAGAGCATGACACAACCCATTGCTGGTTTTTAAACAATGTCCTGAACGTTGAAAGGAAGCCCCAGTCCCTTCTCCGGGTGCTGCCACCCTGCCCCAGTTGGGGGTCCATGCTGGGGGTTGGCTTGTATCTTGGGATGGGCATATTCCATCCCTGGTCCTCCTGCTCCAGGCTACTTTCAGAGAGGGAAAGTGACTGACTGAAGCTGGTCCCCTCTTGTGCCCTGCTAGGGGAAGCACTGCATCCTGGACGTGTCTGGCAACGCCATCAAGAGGTTGCAACAAGCACAACTTTACCCTATTGCCATTTTCATCAAGCCAAAATCCATTGAAGCTCTCATGTAAGTGCATATTTTCCACCTACCCCTTGGGTGCGCTAGCTGCAGGGACCAGGAGCCTGCACTCCTGCTGCTTCTAATTCAGAAAAGGGGTGTGGGAAAGGCTGCTACTGTCGCTGTCATAGAATCACAGAAATGTTGGGCTGGAAGGTACCACAAGAGGTCATCTAGTCCAGCCCTCTGCACTGAGGCAGGACCAGAGTTACCTAAGAGCATCCTTGACAGGTGTTTGTCCAACCCGTTGTTAAAAATCTCGAATGAGGGGATTCCATGACTTCCCTTGGGATCCTATTCCAGAACTTTTCTATCCTCTGAATTAGAAAGTTTTCAGAGTAGAGAGAGGTAAATAGTGGTGTCCCCCAGGGTTCTGTACTGGGACCAGTGCTGTTCAACATACTCATAAATGATCTGGAAAAAGGGGTAAACAATGCAGTGGCTAAGTTTGCAGATGATACAGAATTACTCAAAATAGTTAAATTCAAAGCTGACTGCACAGAGTTACAAAGGGGTCTCTCCGAACTGGGTGACTGGGCAACATGTAGACAAATGCGAAGTAATGCACATAGGAAAACATAATCCCAATTATACATACATGATGATGGGGTCTAAATTAGCTGTTACCACTCAAGAAAGAGATCGTGGAGTCATTGTGGATAGTTCTCTGAAAACATCTGTTCAATGTGCAGCGGCAATCAAAAAAGCGAACAGAATGTTAGGAACCAATAGGAAAGGGATAGATAATAAACCGAAAATGTCATATTGCCGCTATATAATTCCATGGTACTCCCACACCTTGAATACTGCATGCAGATGTGATCGCCCCATCTCAAAAAAGAGGTATTAGAATTGGAAAAGGTGCAGAGAAGGGCAACAAAAATGATTAGGGGTATGGAACAGCTTCCGTATGAGGAGAGATTAAGACTGGGACTGTTCAGCTCAGAAACGAGATGGCTAAGAGGGGTGTGATGGAGGTCTATAAAATCATGACTGGTGTGGAAAAAGGGAATCAGGAAGGGTTATTTATTCCTTCTCATAACACACGAACCAAGGGTCACCAATGGAATTAATAGGCAGCAGGTTTACAACAAACATAAGGAAGTACTTCACTCAAAGCACTGTCAACCTGTGGAACTCATTGCCAGTGGATGTTGTGAAGGCCAAAACTATAACTTGTATAATTCACAAAAGAATTGGATAAATTCATGGAGGATAGATCAATCAATGGCTATTAGCCCAAGATGGTCAGGGATGCAACCCCATGGTCTGCATGTCCCTCATCTCTGACTCCCAGAAGTTGGGAGTGGATGATGGGATGGACCACTCAATAAATTGCCCCATTCTGTTCATTCCCTCTGAAGTATTTGGCACCAGCTACTCTCAGAAGACAGGATACTGGGCTAGATGGACCACTGATCTGACTCAATACGGCCATCTTTGTTTGTACACTATGAAAGTTTTTCTGAAATTTTCCTTGCTGCAGTTTAAGACCATTACTTCTTAACCGATGGACATGGAGAACAATTGATCACCGTCCTCTTTGTAATATCCCTTCACATATTTGAAGATTGTTACCAGGATCCCCATTAGTCATCTTTTCTTAAGACTAAACAAACCCAGTTTGTTTAATCTTTCCTCACAGATCAGGTTTTCTAGCCCTTTTATCATTTTGTTGCTCTACTCTGGACACTCTCTAATTTGTCCACATTTTTTTAAGGTATTGTGCCCAGACCTGGGCAGAGTACTCCAGTTAAGATCTCAGAGCCACATAATCCAGGACAGTTACCTACCATGTCTTACTTATGACATATTAGCTTTTTTCACAACTGTATCACATTGACTTGTGTTCCATTAGTGATCCAACCCCCAGATCCTTTTCAGCAGTTATACCACCTACCCAGTTATTTTGTAGTTGTCCATTCCGTTTTTCCTTCCTAAGTGTAATACTTTGCACTTGTCTTTACTGAATTTTGCTTGTTGATTTCAGACCAATTCTCCAATTTGCAAAGGTCCTTTTGAATTCTAATCCTGTCCTTCAAAGTGCTTGCAACCCCTCCACGCTTGGTGTCATCTGCAGATTTTATGAGCATACTCCGCTCTCCATTATCCAAGTCATTCATGAAAGTATTGAATAGTACCAGACCCAGGGCTGACCCCTGCAGGACTCCACTACCTATGTCCCTCCCGGTTTGACAGTGAACCACTGAATGCAGTGTTTCAACCAGTTGTACACCCAGCTTATATTTAATTTCATTTATACCATATTTCCCTAGTTTGCTTTTGAGAATGTCATCTGAGAGACTGTGCCAAAAGCCATACTAAAATCGAGATATATCACTTCTTCTACTTTCCCCTATCCACTAGGCCAGGTACCCTGTCAAAGGAAATTAGGTTGATTTAGCATGATTTGTTCTTGACAATATAACCTATTGTCTAGGTGCTTACAAATTGATTTGTTCCAGTATATACCCCGGTATCGAAGATGGGGTGATCGACTACTCTGTAATTCCCTGGGTCCTCTTTGTTCCCCCTTTTAAAGGTAGGCACTCGGTTTGCCCTTCTCCCGTCGTCTGGGATCTCACAAGTGCTCCAGGAGTTCTAGAAGATAATTGCAAATGGTTCTGAGTTTGCTCTAGCTAGTTCCTGAAGTACCCTGGGGTGAATTTCATCAGGCCCTCCTGACCTGAATACAGCTAGCTTATCTAAATAGTCTTTAACCTGATCTTTGCCTATTTTGTCTTGTGTTCCTTCTCCATTGTTTTTCATATTAATTGTGTTCAGTATCTGGTTATAGTTCACCTTTTTAGTGAAGACTGAAGCAAAATAGGCAATTAATACCTCGCCTTTCTTCACATCATCATTGGTTAGCTCTCTTTATCCATTAAGTAGAGAACTTACACTTTCCTTCACCTTTCTCTTGCTCCTAATGTATTTAAAGAACCTCTTCTTACTGCCTTTTACGTCCCTTGCCAGGTGTAACTCATTTTGTGCCTTAGCCTTTCTGATTTTGTCTCTACCTGCTTGTGCTATTCTTTTGTACTCTTCCAGAGCAATTTATCCGCGTTTCCAGTTTTTGTAGGATTCCTCTTTTAGGGTCATTAAGGCGCTCCTGATGGAGTCGTAATGATCTTTTACTTTTTTTTCTATCTTTCCTTCCCATTGGGATAGCCTGCAGTTGTGCCTTAAATATCGTCTCCTTGAGAAGCTGCTAGTTCTCCTCAACTCCTTTGTCCCCTTAGATTTGTTTTTTCCCCATGGGATCTTATCTACCAGTTGTCTGAGTTTGCCTGCTTTTTAAAAATCCTTTGTGCTTATTCTGCTGCTCTCACTCCTTCCTTTCCTTAGAATCATGAAATCTGCCCTTCAAGTAGTGTCCCTGTGGGCACTCCGCTCCAGGTGCGCCTGTGCCTTTGATCAGAGATGTTTGGTAGCAACGCCCCCACACCTTCGTGCCCTGGACGGAAAGTATAAAGGGCTGCGTGGATGAACAGCCATCGGTTTCTTTTCAGCCACCTTCAGTCTGACAGAGTCTGCTGTGTGCCTGTTCTCTTTAATGGTGATTTTAGCAGTTAGTATCTAGTTAGTTCTTCGGTAGTGTTTTATAGTTCCTGGAACAGTTGTTCCCTTTTTTCTTTCCATTTTTTAAGGAAAGATTTTATATCTATAAAATACTTTTATTTTTGGTTATTTTGCTCAGGGATGCCAGGGATTTAAAAGGCGCTTCTCTCACTGCGAGGCTCTCCTGAGCAGTGACGGGCGTTCTTAATGCCTCTGCTGTTTGGGAGAGGCTCCTATTTCCCTGCAAGTGCAAGATCTGCACTTTTTTCCCAAGGGTACATCCTGAAAAAAATAGGGAGCCCAAGTTTAAACTGATGATGATGGAGCAAGCCTTAAGACCAGCTTTGGATGCAGGGGCAGAGGACGACCCCCCAGTATAGCTAGCACTTGTATATGTATATAGTGAAAACCAGTAAAAGTTTATTTAACAAAGTGCAGAGATTCAAGTGACCGCAGTAGAAGTATTGGAAACAAATGCTGTATATAAAAGTAAATCAGAATGTGCATTCTAGAACCTACACTTACGTCACTAGCTGCTTTTCTCTCTTACAGAGCAATGGTCACCCAAAGTCCTTCCAGCGTTTTACACTCAGGCTTGGCTGGGCTCTTAAATAAGTCACACTGTCAGCTTGCCTCCTTGATAGAACAATCCACTGCCCTTATTTCTAAGCAGGACACCCCTGCTGGCTGTCTTTTTCCTGTACACTCCTTTCTGGTAGATTGTGAAATCTCTTAATCAGCATCTGGCTCAGTCTGCAAATCGGCCTACGTTGGCGGACATGATACACAATGGCCAGATAAGGAGATAAGCATCTGTTACCCCATGCCTGTCCGAAACATGCTACATCCTGATTACCTGTCTTAAGAACATAATTTTCACTATAGACACGCAACTTCTTAAATATGATCCATCAATCACTGTGAAATGGATGGATGACCCGTGGGCTACTGGCTGTCTGCAGAGACCTCAGCCCCCACCCTTTTGTGAATTCTATCCAACCCATGGAATCTCTGTAAAACTGACTCCTCTGTGCCCTCTGCTAGTTTGCACTACAAGGTTCTGGGGTCACATGCACTGCAGCAGAAGGCTAGGGATTGCCTGGGCTTCCCAGCATACCTTTGTTCTTTGGGTGAAGTGGAAAGATGTTGGTGCTGGAAGGAATTGCTGGAGCTGGAGTTGTATTGCACAGGGCAGCAAGAGAGCACGTGAAGTTCGATATGTGACCCAGTCTCTTGCAATAGAAGTCTGTAGGGGCTGCACCAGGGCCTAGCTCACTGATGCATGGAGGGTTCCCAGCACTGGTGGTGGCGGTAGCTTTTGGCTTGTTTTAAGTAAAAAGAAACACATTCAGACTGTTCTTATCCATGCCTGGCAGGGAGATGAACCGGAGACAGACGTATGAACAAGCCAACAAGGTCTTTGACAAAGCCATGAAATTGGAGCAGGAGTTTGGAGAGTATTTTACAGGTAAGAGTCCTGGATGGGCAGGAGTGACCCCATCAGCACCACCTTGCTGTCAGAGTCATGGGAAATTGTCCCGCCCCTCCGAAAACAAAAGAATCAAGAAATGGATATGAGTCTGTGAATGTGGCTTCATGGAGGGGCCCTTCAGCTATCCGGAGGTAACAGCAAACCTGCCCTCGAGACGCAGAGGGAGGCAGCCATACAGGATTTTCTGAATTGCTGAAGGCAGCAAGGAGAAAAGGGGCCAATAGAAAATCAAGACTTACAAATGCTGCTGAAGGGCTGCATAGGACCAGGGATTTTAGCACATGAGGGCAGGGAACACTAGAGAGAGAAGGACCATTTAAAAGAGTTGAAGGATGAAATTAGTGACTTGATGGGTGAAGACTGAACTGCTTTTTACAGTCCGTCTTCAAGAAAAGCATGGGCACTTGGCTGCTTAGGAAGAGAAGGAGCATTTGCTGAAGGGCCAGTAAGGGAGTACTTGGCAACTTGTGCCTCCACAGATTAGCTGGCCAGCACAGCAGGTATCCGCGCGCGTTAAGGAAAATAGCGGACACGCTGTACCACACAATTATTTCTGGAAAATAATGGGCAGCTTTGGAGGCACCAAGGCTGAAGGGGAGCAAACGTGTTACCAGCTTGAAAGGAAAGGAGTGATCCCACCAGTTTCCATCTCATATGCCAGACTGCTACCCTAGGAACTTTCCCAGCCAAAACACCTGGCAGAGGAGGAGTTCAGGCTAGAATGGGCCAGTTACTGGCCAGTTAAAACCCTCCCCAGAATATTGTCCTTTCACAAAGGTGAGCAGGAGAAGCCCAAGGAATTCCCAGTGCTTTTCGATATGCTCACGCCAACAGCTGGGGGAAACAGGCGAGGCACACTGTGTCTTTATTTGCTACCAACAGACAGTTTCATGTGGAAAATAAGTTCAAATTGGCTCATTGAGCTGAAAACGTGGGTAAAACCCATAAACAGGGTGCTGATAACTGGGGCATCTCAAGGGGAGAGAGGGGCCTCTTTGGGAGCAGCGGACACTGGGGTGAGGCAGACCTTATGTAACATGTTTGTGATCATAGAGATAGGGTGAGCAGCACATGGGTGACGTTTCCAGGTGACACTAAATTGGGAGGAGGCTGGAAACATGGGCAGGAAATAATGGAATGGGATTCTGCTGGGCAGGGGAACCCAGGGGCGCAGGAATGGCAGAGTGAGCCCTGCAGCAATAAGGGAGAGCAGATTTGATTATCTTGCAATGTAAGATGGCTGCAAAAGAGCCACTGTGATTCTGGGCTGCATGTACAAAGGCCTCGTGTCATGGACATGGAGGGGGGATGGACTGCCTGTCTGTAGGGCTCTGGTGCGATGTGGGAGCCAGAAAAATTGACAAATTGTGAGGAGTCCAACAAAAAGCAACAAAACGATCTGGGGGCTGGAGCAAATGAGTTCTGGGGGAGAGAGAGAAAAAGCCAAATCTGCCTGGTTTCATTAAGTGTTGAGTCCAACTCAATAGGACAAAACCAATCATCTACAGTTAAGTGAAGGCATGTTATCGGAGAAATAAGATGGGATTGCAAAAGGGAAAACGTGTGAACTCGAAACTTTTGGGCAGTGAGATGCGCTTGGCTGGGGAATCCTCTCCCAGGAAGCCCCAAGAACTTCTCCCCTTGGGAGTTGGAAGCTAAACTAGGTCCCTGGGCCTGCTGGAAGCTGTAATGAGCCAGTCTTTATGAAAGTGCCTGCAGCTCCTGCTCAAAGGTGGATGAAATAATGAATACTGAGGTCCCAAAGGCTCTGTACCTAGTGTGTTTTAATGAAATTGTCTGAAAAGTTGATTTTCAGCCCCTTGTTGAGAGACTAGTTGGTACTTCGTACACATGAAAAGAGTACGCCAACATGAGATCAGCATGAGCTCTCCCTAGAATTAATCTGCTTGGAGGTACTCTGTATCCTTAACTCTCCATGGCCCGGTTTGCCTGTTGTTCACATAGCGCAGATCCAGAACTACTTACAGGATTCGCTCAGGTCTGCTGGTAGCCGTGCCGCACCGTTCTCTCCCATCCCCTCTGGCTGCTTTGCCTCACTAGCTGGGCGAGGGACCTTTGCATGGCATGTGCGGGTGTGGTGCAGTGTTGCCTGATGTTGACTGACTGGCTTGTTCTTTCCCTTTTTAGCCATTGTACAAGGAGACTCTCTGGAAGAGATATACAACAAAATCAAACAGATCATTGAGGACCAGTCTGGGCACTACATCTGGGTCCCATCCCCTGAGAAACTCTGAAGACTTCCCCCATCAACTTCCTTGTGAGCAGATGTCTGAAATCCCTCCCTCACCTATGCCCCAAGGGGGTGGACATGAATACTTCTCCTGCCCCCTTTTTTAGATCGTCGCAAGATTGAGTTTTCTAGTCCTGTTTCTTTTTGTTGGGATGAATCAATCTCACTTAACACGTGACTGTCCCCACCATTCCTGCATGGACCTTCCCGCTGCTCCATTAGAGACAGATGAGATCCCATTCAAGTCGTTTTTTATTATTATTAAAATTTAACCCAAGATGCGAGATGGGAGGAGGCGGCTGAGGACTTATGTAAAGAACGACTGAAACAATGGATTTTTTTGAAAATGAGCTAGGACTGGAGCTCCCGGGGGCATTTCTCCAAGCATGTGTCACTGCCTTGTAGCTCTGAACAGTGCAACAGAAAGCATTTTATTTATCTGTATATGTAATTTATATATAATATATAAAGATATTATATATATATTATATATATGTGGACTAGAAAACCTGAGGGACCTCCTAAAACGGTACTATATTATTGCAAGGATCTTTTAAATTGTTGTATCCCAGTCACTGGGCAAGGGAGTCCCACTCTGGTCAAGAAGAGATTGAAATGGTACCAAGTGCTTCGGATGCTTCTCACATCTGGTCAGTTTTCTGAGAACCAAAGCCCAGATCTTTGGGGTAGAGCAGAGAAACTGGGATGCTGTGTGCGTGCAGAGAGGGCCGAGGGTCCAGAGTAACCTGTAGCAGCTGATCTGAGTGAAACTGGAAGACCCAGACTGAGCAGGAGGCTGCAGGGCGAGAGAGAATGGATAAGACGTTATTAAATTGCACATTGTTTTACACACCACCTAATGTGTTTGCATGAGAGGTTTCCTTTTTGTTCTATTTTTTTAAGCAGATGTTAAACCAAAACCATATTGTGTTGCTGTGTCAGCTTTTTTATTAGAATTTTCTCATGTTAATAATGATCTGTGGGTATAAAATCCAGTTTTTTAACTTATTTTTTAAGATGGTTACATTGTAAATAGAATCCAGACCCAGGGTGTCATAGTTAGAAAATAATCTACAGACCATATGGAATGAGCAAGCCAGCTGATCTGTGCTGCTGCCGGAACACTTCAATGTGGATGCAGCAAATGCCATCCATCTGGTCTCCCTGGGGACCTACACTGGATTTGAATCTGGTGTGTGACAGGCTGAGGGAATTCCAGTCTTCCTCATGAAAGCACACTGGAATTCCCCTCTGCTGCTGGAAGAAGACCATAGCTGTGCCTGGGATGGAAGCTCACAACTTCCCAAATGAATAATGGAATTTAATACAGAGTTCAGAATTCCAGTAACCGTGAAAACGGCTGTTTCCCCTGCAAGGGGTGAGGACCTTTGCTGTGGAGCAGCTGTGCATGCAGTGCAGCAGTGTCCCTTCCTGAGTCCCTGGGACTCAGCGCTTGGCAGATAGTGCTTGTTCACCTCTTCTGTTTAATATTTCTACTATTGACAAGTGTCTGCATAAAGCCTGTTCTGAAGTTTGGGATCCACTTTTAGAAAGTCTCAGGAGCTTTGCAGTCTGTTGGGTATGGAAATGCAGACAGAATTGTACCATCATGCTGTATAATCAAGAGATCTTGTGACCAGGTGAGTGGTGTAAGACCACAGACAGGTAGTCTTCCTTGGACTGAGGCTACTGCTTTTGAGAAGCACAGGTGTGTGTGTTCGAATGTGGCTCCACCTCAGGAAAAGAGCTTCCAAAAGGATTTGTGGATTTTCCAATCTAGATTTTGTTTTTCAAGTACCCCTAATTCTAGTGCAAGAGCCCTCTCCTCTGCAGGGAAAAATGTAAAAACTTTCTCCATGCCACGTTCCTGTACATCAGAGCAAAGGAGGTCACCATAAAAATGTGAGCAGGTACGTCTTCCCCCTTTCCATGTGGTGACAGTTGGATGCTATAGAAGAAAACCAAGCTGTTGCTGACCTAACCTAATAGGATCAGACCACTGCTGTTTCCAGCTAGACAACACCATGCTAATACTGTCCACTCCCTGAGGTGATAGCTGATTGTGTCAATGTGTTTTGTGCAGTGGCCTCAGTTTTAAATATGAGTGAGAACTGCTGTAAGTTTGTAGAGAGACATTCTGGTAAGTGAGAAGTGTCACAGGAGACCCAAAGGGATTTAGCAATCCTGTGAGACTCAAAGCAACGCTGCAAAGCTCATTGATGGAACCACTACTGTTGAGAAGTGGAGCTGAAGGAGAGAGGACGGCTGTAGATTCTGGCCATGGACGGATGTCCAGTGTTACAGCTACTGCCTGCTCTGGATGCCACAAGCCCCATTCTCGAGCTGGCATAAGTGAAATAGGAGCAAGTTCCTAAGATGCTAGTCACAAGGTTACAGCTTCTTAACTTTTTTCCTAAGAGCCTGTCTCCCTCTCTTCTAGTCACATGGAGAAAAAGGCCAGTGTACTCCATGGCATAGGTGAAAGTATCCAATCAGTCATGACACTAGTTGGTTACCAGTGTTTCTTCCAAGGAGACATATATTTTTAATAAACAGAGAGTTGCAATGAACTCTGACTCAGAAACCTTCTTGTAAAAACCTCTTATTGTGTAGTGGATCCCTGCCATTTGGAGGTTGATCCTGGCACCTGAGTGGGGTCTAGCTGGGCTGTAGTGAACCGAAGGGTTACGCTCAACATGCCAAAGCCTGGAAATGTTTAGGTTTCTAGGTGGGAGGGGGGTGGCCCCTAAAAGTCAATCCTGAAAAAGAGCAGTTCTTGGGTTTAGATTAGTGACCATAGCAACAAGAAGGCCCCTCTGCAGCTTTACCAATGCCACTTGCTCTTTGAGGTGGGGTTGTGGTTGCAGGCCTTCCCTAATACTGTATCATAATATATTCGGCCAACACCGTTGGACCAAAGCCCCTTGCTGACATGAGAATCTGTGCCCTGCAAGCAATGTGGGGAACTAGCTGTACCACTTTTTATCAGTGGAAATTATGTGCCTTTATGAAACCCTGCTGCATCTGGTCCTGCCTGTACTGTAAAGGAGGGGACGTGGCTTGTTTTTCACTGATAGGAATATGAAGCTGGGGGAGGGTCGTACTAAAATTTAACTTAGCATGTTTGACTATTTGTACAATATTGGTAGGCAGTGGTTATAATGACACAGCTACATTGAAGTAAAACGTTGGGGATGGAGTTGTCTTTACTAAATGTAGTTAAAACCTATTTTTGAAATTCCCAGTGTACTCATTCAGTGTGTGAATGGGTGATCTGCTCTCATGGGGAGAGGGTACTATTTTAATGGTGCATCACTGTACGATCCCCGTAGCAGGCCCAGCCTCAGAATCCAAAAAAAAAAAAAAAAAATCAGCTCCCACATCAAAGGGCTGGAAATCTGTTTCAAAGTAAAGCCTAATTTAAAAAAAAACTAGCTCATAAACCATTTTTTGAAGAAGCGGTTTCCTGTATGGTTATTTCTATTACAGACACTTTAGAAGTGGAACTGAACAACTGAGTTTTGATTTAGTTGGAGTGACTGAAAGCTCTTACCCTGCAGTTTTCCTTTCAGAAGCTGGAGATGGGGGAATAAAGTAGCTTTAGAAGAACTGGTAATAGAAAGCACGAGGTAGTTTACTGATGACTCTCAGGTTATAGTCCACATATTTAATTTTTTGTTTAGTTAAGCATATTAGTGATTATCAGACTGAAAAGATCAATAGTCCCTCTAGTCTGGTTTCTGACAGTGGTGTATATACCTGATCCTTCAGGCATAAAAGCCTCAGAAAAGACAGTTAATTAAATAGCATAACGGGAGAGGTTCCTTCCTCAATCAGGGCTGTTAGTGGTTGGCTCATGTCCTGAAGCATAGGTAGTCACATAGCTTACAAACATATCCAAGCCTGCTGTAAATACAGATACCATATAAGTGTAGAAGCCTTTCTTGAATCGTACTGAATACTCCATCCCAAAAATACCATGTGGCAGCAAGCTCCGTAGCTTAATTACTCTGGTGTAAAGGTCTTCCTGTCTGAACAAGACATGAACAGAAGGGTAACAGTGCTGCCTCAAGTTCTCCAAGAGCTCGCTTGGTGGCTAGACCCAGTAAATGAATGGAAAGGTGGTTCCTTTCTCTGCCCCCACTCCAACTGACACTTATCACAGATGCTTCAGGGACAGGCTGGGGTACTCACCTGAAGCAGCTACAAGAGATTGTCTCAGAACAATTTACAGCTACACATGAATGTCCTGGAGTTGGGAGCCATCAGCCCAGTTCTGCAAAACTCCACAATGCAAATTCTGATTGACATGGCTGCATTTCACTATGGAAACAAACAAGGAGGCACTCAAGCATTCCCTCTTTGCCAGGAAGCCATCAAGTTCTGGAAGTGGTGTCACCATCCCAGGATAACTCTGCTGGCTCTACACATACCAGGGGTCAGCAATTACTGAGCAGATTTCTCAAGCAGACATGCAGTGACCATTTGCAAATGGTTACTGAATGGGTCGGGCAGGCAGCTAATGTCTAGCAGGGGAGAGCAGGGGTGGGGGGAATTGTCCTTTAAACTTCTGCTCAAGCAGAGATGAGAGCTTAGTCTTGTTGCCAGATATGTATCCTTGAGACCACCAAAGGAGAAAACGATCTTCCTTCCTACCAATTGCCCAGATCCCTAAAATAGTATACAAGATCAGGCAGTCATCCTGATAGTCCCTTACTGGCCGAGACAGTTTTGGCCATCAGACCTGCTACAGCTGTCCATGTGGCAACCTATCTCCCAACCAATCTAGATGTAATATCCCAGAACTAAGGTTAACTCCTGTACCCAGACCCGCAGTCACTGCATCTGACTGCTTTGATGTTGGCTGATTGACCACTACTAAAAGAGAGGCATTCAGAAAATTCTCATCCAAAGCAGGAAGTCCATCCACCAGGAAGATTTACCTTCCAAGTGGAAAAGATTTTTCCACACGAGTGGTCCAAAAGAACATGAACCTAGTACAGGAATATACACTAACAATCCTTGATTATATGCTGCTACTAAAACAGGATGGATTCGCATTTAACACTCTCAAAGGTCAACCTAGCAGCAATATCTGTGTGCCACACACTGGTACAGTCACAACAGACATTCTCTCATCTAACAGTATTGAAATTCCTTAAGGTCCTCCTTCATTCTTTCCCTCAGGTTAGATAGGTTATGTCCTTCCATAGGGACACGGTAGTGATTAGGACACATTCCAAGGTCATCCCTGAGATGGTCTGACCTCCACCTGAACCAGTCACTCACCTTGTCAGTCTTCATGACGCACTCTTGATACCAAGGGAGAAGAAGCTGCAGACTCTGGATGTCAGCAGGGCTTTGCTATAATACCTTGACTGGACCAAGCCTTTCTTGCTTTCTCCCTGCCTCTTTGTGGCTATTTCCAGCCATGCAGTCTTTTCACAGAGAATCTCCAACTTGATTTCACTGCATGTCCATCTGCTATTAGCTGACTGGTGAGCCTGTCCCGTAGGGCACAGGGTGTGTCGACCACCTGCTTCAGGAACAGTCCAACCTCTCAGGTCAGTAAAGCTGCAGCTTGGAGTAACTCACTGAATTTTGTTGAACATTGCCCTTGACATGGCTACCTGGGCAAATGTCCACTTGGCAGGGCAATACTCCAATTGTTGTTTGGTATGGCTAGAACGCCGCTCCCACCATTCAGGGAGGAATGGTTGCCAGTCACCAACAGTGAGTTCCACGCTTCTTAGTGTATGCACAATGTGCCTCAGGTGGCACGTGACCAGGATTCATCACCGAATTTGGTCTGCTGATTGGATCATTAGCTTCCTTGGCATGGGCCAGGTACTGATGGGGAGCACGAAATGAACACTGATCCATGCTCCCCAGCGCCACACTGACACATACTCAAAGGATGGTTCCTTATTTTAAGGTAACTGTGATTCTTCAAGATGTCAGTGCAGATCTGACCACCCACCCTCCATCGTCGTTTTTCCAAGTTCACAACTACTACAGGCTTTGAACTGCAAGGGAACTTATGAGGGGGTCAGCGTCACTCTGCCCTTTCTGCCTTCAGAGGGGAGCATGAGGCGGCACAGGGCACATGTGCAGCCCCCCCCCCCCCAAACAACTACTGCTATTCAAAGAAATACTGTACAGATCTCACATACAAGGAGGGGATCCATACTGACTACACCATATCATGGAATCACAGTTACTTTAGGGTAAGTAATTCTTCTGTCTACGTCTGCTACTTCAATTAAATTCTGACTAACTAGCATTGAAACAAAGTCTCTCACTGCTGACTTGAGCCATACTGAAAAGCATCTAGTGCAATACATATAATAAGAACAGGAGTACTTGTGGCACCTTAGAGACTAACAAA